ATGTCACCCATCCTGTCTGTCAGGCCTTTTCACAGGTGCAGCTTTGACTCAGTTGCAGCTAGGGACAGGTGGCCACCTAAGATCCCAGTGCTGAGGTGAGGCAAGGTGGTGGTGGGAAAGAGGCTAAGTGTGAACACCTGGGGAGAAGGAGGCACAAAGAAGCCAAGGGACTGTTCAGACAAAATGAAGGTCCAGAGTTCTGGGAGTATTGTACCCATCTTCATTTAGTGTACTCCATGATTCACAAATGCCAAATTGACCTCCCAGGTCTCATCTGCTAGACCAGCCCCACTAGTCTTGCCTATTATGAGCCCAGAGCTAGAGGGTTTGTTAGTTGAGGAAGCAGGGAGTGGTGAGACCCTTCTGCCACCAGGGCCAGCCAGCTCTCACTGCCTTCTCTCTAAACCACTTGAAAACCCATTTCGAAGTAAGGCAATACATTTGGGGTCATCAGTAGCTGCTCTTGTTTCATATGCACAAGAGATCATTGCCCACAACCAGCTTCTTGCTTAACACTCCCACCTTACTTCCTATTCTTGCCTGAGCAAGACTTGCTAAGTGCCACTGCCATGTTTTAAATCCCCAGAAGTCCTCAGTGACTCAGGCCTGGGCTGGGCAGGGCTCTAGGGGATAGACTGAGCCATGGAAAGGGACAGCTGCACTACTTTTGAAGATTGAGTGTGCAGGGTGTTTCTGCAACCATGAGGGTACCTGGGGGTGGGAGGAGGCCTAGTGGCAGAAAAAAAGGGTGAGGGACGGAAGGAGGTAAAGAGGAATGGACAGATAAAAGAGGGTAACAATAAAGGGAATCAAAACAGAGGGACTGGGATAGTACACACAGGGAAAGTCTAAAGCAACCACAGGTCACTAGTAACTCTGATGGCAATGGAACTAAGGTGTTCATTTCCTTTCTGAAAACATCCAGCCATGTGGTGGTGGCACATGCCTTTAATCCCAGAACTCGAGAGGCAGAGGCAGGCAGATCTCTGTGAGTTCGAGGCCAGTCTGATCTACAGAGTGAGTTCCAGGACAGCCAGAACTACACAAAAGAACCCTGTCTCAAAAAAACCCCAAATCCCAAACAAACAAAAAACCATCCAGACCACTGCCAGGTCATAGCACCTTCCTCTTTCATAGGGCTTCCTGAGTCCATTATCTTTCTGTCCTTTGCAGCAGTCTGTTATCTTTCTATCCTCACCTGCCCCTTGTAATTGACATCTGCAGCCTTCTTGGGGTCTGACAGTGGGGCCATTCTCTTGTTGGACCTGTTCTTCTCCTGCATTTGTCCTCCTAGAACTAAGTTATTCTCAGAATACAAGGCTTTGGCCTTTGTATCAGTAAACAATCCTCCTGGCAACATGCTTGTCTGGACTAGTCCTCTCACTTTTGGGCAAAACTCCTGGCTCAGAACAATCCTCTCAAAAATCAGAACTCAGATATTCTTCTAGGTTTCTGGTCTAGAACCACCCAGGGAAAAACAATAACCCAGAGCCAAGAAGAAAGGGGAAAAAGCCCTCATGTAGCTAAAATAGTGGTTAACTCCATGGCTTTCACTCGAAGGAGGGCCCAGTGGGTTTGATCCTTTGAGCCCTATGGGGTGCCATGAACTGAGAATATCACATCTAGAGGAAGAACAGAGGCATTGGATGGGGGGGGGCGGTCAATGAAACATTCTCACACATGCTCCAAACACAGAGACTTCAGCTCTCAAGAAAAAGTGTGCGTGCCTATCTGCAAGGTCTGGTGGACAGGATGGGGGACACTTATAAAATGTCCATCCCAGTTGGTCACCATTTCACAATTTGGGCACCGGAGTGTTAACTATTTCTTCACTTTCTACATGGACCAGCTTTCACTTCTGGAAGATGTGGGGTGACTTCCCCATCTTCTCTCAATGCTGTGTACCAGTTTTTCCAGCTGGTTACCTAAAAAAAAAAAACATTTCTTGGGCATCTATTACATGGTAGGCACTGACTTTTTGTGCTAGAGGTTGACAAAACTAAACCAATAGCTTTTCTCTGTGTGGCTAAGCTATAGAAACAAGGTTTGGTTCAGAGGCCCAAATCCCTGGGATTTCAGGAAGGACAAAGGGAAGAAAAGACTGAAAGGGAAAGAAACAGCTAAGCAAGGCTGGGGTAGGGGCAGAGACTGCGGCCCTTCTGCTTGATTGAGCAGCAGCATCTGGAAGCATGGGCTGGGGATGGCAGGGGCAAGCAGTAGGACCTCAAGAAGCTGGGTAGAATGTACTCCTTCCACTGGCGCTCTGTGAATTTGCCATTCCAACCACCTGGAAGGGGGTGACAAATATCACTCTCTTGTCACTGCAAGAAGCCAAGGTTTGGTTAAGGGAAATGACAGAGCCAGAGGAAATTGAGACTACCTCAAGGTAGCCGTGTTAGCTTTCCACTGATACCTGCCTTCCCCAATCCCTACCCCAAGTGACCTTGGCTTAGGATGGTGTACTGACTACCTGAGGGTGCTCTTCCTCCCCTATTCTCTCTGACCATAGCACCATTGTTCTCAGAAGTCCCAGTGCATAAGCAGTTGGATGTAGCTGTCAGGTTTGAGTTCTGTCCTCTACTTCTGCCACCGCCAGCATGCTGGCTGCTGGAGAAGATGAATGGGTCTGGTTTGTCAGGGTAGACACTATCTTCAGCAAGCACACCCCCCACCATGAGTCAGCTTCTTAGGCTCTAGTCAGGCAAGGCTTCTAGGAAAGGCCAGATCAACAGGGTTATAAGTACCCAGGTATTGGCAAATGACATGGGAGGGTCCTCATTGGCTCTCGGGCCCTTTCAGCCCTTGTGGAGGGGTGGTCAATACTTGCCTCAGGCTCAGATGCTCTCATAAGCAAGGGCTCAGTACTACATTCACTCACCCCATGCTTGAAGCCCCAGGGCTTGAGCTGAAAACCTGCATGTCCCAAACTGAGTTGCCTGAAGACTCCATAGTGACTCTTTGGGAAAGGGAATCCAGAGGATTTTGCTCCTTGGAAACCCATTAATCTTTTCAGCCATTCTTCCCACATGGAAGGAAATAAGGTTGCTCTTAGGCTTGGGGTGTGAAGTGAAAAGCCTATTGGGTGAGCTCTGAGATGGGTGCATGTTCTTCAGAGTAGGTAGGTACCTGTATGTCACTACTACAGTCACCCAGACCCAGGAGTCCTGGAGGAGGCCATGGCTTCCCTAATGTTACTGAAGCATTTTGTCATCCACTCTTCCTCCCTGTCCATAATCTGTAGTGTAGAGCTACTCCTGATTTTGGAATGTTGTCATCGCTGAAGATTTGGTGCCTCATAGTTACAACCCTGGGTAGGGAGGTAAAGCCACTGATTTGTTAAGGTTAAGCCATGCTACCTCCCTGTAGCCCAATGGACTGGTGGAGCTCATTGCACCCCTGCTCCTGTGTGACTGTCCTGGAGTCAATTTGTCCCCTCCACCTCAGTATTACTGAACACCCTAACTGCCAGTTGTGGCTAGCTCCCTTTTCCCCATTTCCCACTAAGCAAACCTGACACCCTGTCTGGCAGGAGAGAGATCTGCCCTGCAGGCTAGCAACTGGTGGTCATGCTGCCCTGAAATCCCCTTTCCCTGGCTTAGGCATCACCACTCCCAGGAAACTCTAACTATAATCCATGATTGGTTCTACCACACACTGTTTCAATCTCCAGGACCAATGAAGAAGACCAAATTCCTTCAAAGCACTTTCCAGCTCCGCCTCTGTCCTTGGCCTGTTCCCCATGCCCCATACCAGCCTACACCAGTTGCCATCACTCACTTTACCAGAGACCATCTCTGAACTCCAACAACACATCCTTCTCTCTCATCACCACCCACTGGCACCCAATGGCTTTATGGCTTCCATTAGTCATAGTTCCTGTGGACCATTCTCTAAAATGTATCTACCAGTTAGTTTTCTAGTCATAATTAATTGCTGCTGAGCCCAAGATCCCATGATCCATTCCTACTTCCCAGAGCTGGGTACAGCCATGAACAGAAGTAACTTTCCCTGCATCCTTAACTTTTTGAGACACATTGTTGATCACTGAGTTGCCAAAGTACACTGAGTGGTCTATCCCAGATGGTGATGGGGCTGAGTGGGGGCCTAGTCCACAGAGAAGGAGCTTAGAGCTCTGGAAGGTGTCAGCACTATCCTGGATAGCATGAAGCCAATAGGGGTGGATACTCATACTTTCCTCTTCTTCATTCACTCAACAGGCCACAGTTCAGATAGAAGGCATCAGTTAAGGGGAGGCCCCCTTAGAGTGACTCTTGGCTGTTGTAGAGAGAAGAGGGGATCATCCCTGGGTTGTCTGTAAACCTGGATGATGGCCTCCTCCAGTTTTAATCAGGACAGCAGCCATCACTGAAATGGCCAAAAACAGAAGTGACTGGCCCTATCAGTTCTGCAGGACTGATAGAGTTTCTGTCCTGGGCTGGCTGCTGAGAACAGCCTGTAGGCATCAAAAGGGCAGGGAATGTACCATTTCTGTGCTCTTTCATGTTTCAGACCTTAATTGGCTTAATTGAATTGAGAACCTCCTCAGAGAGGCACTTGGACCTTCTGGTATTTGCTCCATCCTGGCACAAATTGGCCAACATCATGAGGTAGAGAGAGCAGAAACCTTCATTGAGTTCCCTGGCTTAGCTCACCCTCACTGTTTGACTATCGACAGGTTGCTAACCTTAGGAGATAGTAGGGATGTTGATAACACAAGTCCAGACCCATAACCCAGATGCCTTCTGGAGTCTTCCTTCTAGTGAGACCTGGACACTTTAGTCCTTCAGATCCAAGTGGAGCACCTATTCTTCTATTGAGTCAAATCTGCTTGACCAGAAGACAGGCTCTTCCTTCCTGGTGTCCTCTTCCAACCTCTCTCCCTCTCCCTCTCCTTTCCCCTCTTCTCTCTTTCCCTCCGTCTCCCCCATCTCCCCTCCTTCTTCTCTCTCTCACCACCTTAAATGGGCTCTCTGCCAGCTCCTTAAACTTAATATATGTGTGCTTCCCCTGACCCTAGACAGACCTTGCCCTTCAGAAAGCTGTGTAGTTCCTGAGGGAAGGACCCTCTGCTTTTAGGGTTCCTCTAGTGACACTACTCTTAACACTGAACTTTGAGTTGTCAATGTCCGTGGGATAACAATACCTACACTATCCACCAATCCTTGTTACAGTTCACTGTGCACAATATCTGTTTCACACAGGGGGAATTAGGGTTCAGATAGGACCAGAGACCTCAGGTATCAAGTGCTTGTTTGATGGCTGGAGGTGAGTCTTAGCCGCCTATGCTAGGACAGCTTGTCGCTACTCTGAGCAGCTTCCCTAGCACATTAAGACGGAACCCCTTTTTTTTTTTTTTTGCTCTGTGGGGCTGCTTATGTTCAGAAGGGTCTAGGAAAAGAGAGCAAGTCCACTGCCATCTTCCATGCCAGAACTAAAAAAAAAAAAAACATTAAAATCCATTACACTATGAAGTTAGAAACAGTCCAGAACTCCCTTCTCCCAGCACCAGTCAACTCCATGGGGACACATGTCCCATATTAGTGGTGGGGCATCTGGCCACCAAGAGCTCCCACTCTTCCTGGGGTAGACACAGCTGGATACCAGCACCTTGCAGGCCAAAAAGTCCCAGTCCCAAGTTGTTTCCTTGTTTCAGGGCCCTGGGAGACAAGAATAGTCACCCTGCACAAATCCAGTGTATGGCGCCTGGGCTTGCCAGTGTCCTGGTGCTAGAGCCAGGTCCAGGACCTAAGGGAACAGTCCATCTGGATGGACAGGAGGCAGAAGCCTGGGCTAATCTGGCATACAATTCTACCTAGGGCCCCTTTACCACCCACTGGTATTTCCCTATGAACTCACCAAGTTAGGACTCTCCTTCCAGACACGACTACTCAGTGTGACTCACTGTGGGTTCCTTGAATTAATAGGTCCTGGCCACTCTCTATCTCCAGGCACCTGGAAAACACCGGCTTGCCCATGTACTGGAGAGAACAGAGCCAGGAGCAGGAGCAGAGGCCTAACCCCTGCCTTATAGTCATACATCCCAACCACACTTGCATACTGGGTGGGGCGTGGGGCCCAGCTAGGGAGCAGGTGGGGAGAATTCTGGTCTGGGAGGAGGGTATCTTGAAGGGCAGCTGGCTGTCCATTCCTGAGTCTAACATGATGGGGCAGATATAAGCTTGGCTTGGAGCCCTGGGAGTGCTGCTTTAACCCTTGATTTCCTACATTTTCCCTCTCAGCACAGAGTTCTTGTCTTTTGGTCTAATTTAGTTCTGTCCCTCA